TACTCTCATGGGCTTTTCATGAGAGGAATTTAGATTCTTGACAATGATCGTTACCAACAAAAAAATACTGAGAAGGCTTCTTCCTAAAACTTCGGTTAGCTCTGCATATGCTTAGTAATCATTTATGGAGCTGTTAATGTGCACAGACAACTAAAGGAATAAACATACAATCATTCAATTCTCAAGAAGTTACTGTTTCAATTATAAAAGAACAGATCATTATCAAAACATATCTTTTTTCCTAATAAAAACTCAAAAAACAAAAATGAGAAATATATAACTCAGTCCTTAGTAACATCAGGGGATTAATTACAGGATCCTTATTTTCATCTCCCGTCACTCCCCTTGGATAACAAAATTCACAGATGCTCAAATTATCTATATAAAATGACATGGAACTTGCATATATCCTTACACACATCCTCTTATGTATATTAAATCATCTCGATTATAATACCTAATACAACGTAAAAGCTATGCAAGTTGTTATACGCGGAGGGAAAAGTCTGCACATGCGCATTAGGGATGCAATGTTTTTCGACAAATATTTTCAATACAACACTGGTTGAAAAGGAGGATGTAGAAACCACAGATGTAGAGAGTAAATTGTATAAGACTGTCCTACATGTAAAAGCCAGAATGCTAATTCAAACAAATCCCGAATATTATACTAAATACACTGTTTAAAAATGTCAGCATTGATGCAAGTTGTCGCTCCCCCTCTTCACGGAGGAACGACACAGGACCATGCGCTGTTCTTTTGTCTGCTCGGCCCTTCCCGGGTTTGCTGCTGGTTCTTCCCGGGTTGGCTACCGTCCCTTCCACCTCCGTGGAAGGGCGGTTCCCCCTGGCCACTCTCCCCACTTCCGCGGGGGAGCGGCACACCGCCGGCCGGCTCTCTTGGGGGCTGCTCAGGTGTTCCTCAGGTGTACCTGGTGCATGTTGTCTCTCTCCTCCTTTATAGTCCTCTTCCACCAATCCCAACTCTGCTACCCACACGCCGAGTACACTGCTCTCCTCCAATCAGGAGTAGGATCAGCTCCTGCAGGTCATCACTCAAGTTGAGTGAGAGGCAGCTGCGTAGAAGCTGTTTACTCCTCTCCCAGCGCCATATTATGGGAGAGCAGATGCATAGAATAAGTCTTAATTCCAGTAACTTAGTCTAGTCCGAGTTGCTCCCCACAGCAAGTGCTGTGGTATGGCAGGGAAAACTGCTGCCTGCAATGCCAGCATCCCATATGGGTACCAGCTGGAGACTGAGCTGCTCCACTTCCGATCCAGTTCCCTGCTAATGGCCTGGGAAACCTGCGAAGATTGCCCATGCACTTCGGCCCCTGCCACCCATGTGGGAGACCTGGAAGAAGCTCCAGGCTCCTGATTCAGCCTGGGCCAGTGCTGGCCATTGTAGCCAACTGGGGAGTGAACCAAAAGATAGGAGATCCGTCTGTCTCTCCCTCTCTCTCTTCTTTTCAAATAAATACAATAAATAAATCTTTTAAAAAAACAAAAAGTCATCATAGTTAAGAAAAACGATTTTTAGCTTTCCATCAAAAATAAGCATGGAAGAAATTATTAACAGGTGAACAGGAGCCTATCTTGCTTAATACAAAAATAAACTGGATGCACTATGCACTATACAGCTTTGCATTTTTTGATATCTTCAGATTCAGAATTTCATCCATTTTATAAATTATGCTGTTCTCAAGATAATTTAAGAACATTTCCTTCTTCAATACATGCTAACATACCTCTTGCATTTGAGATTTAACCTTTCACATATTATTAGTGTGAGTTCATTCTTAGAAAATTTCTATTAACCACTCAAGATTTAACAAAGTCACTGAGAGTAGCACAAACAAAAGTTCATTGCTAATATCAACTCTTATGAGAAGGGGGACAAAATAAAAGATTGAGAACTTTTCTGTATCCGTTAGACTAATACAAAGAAAAGTGTCAGAATGAGTAGCTGAATTCAGTATTAAATTTTATTTATTTAATTATAGAAGGGGGAGGTTGACAATATATATTGGCCAATATTCTTGTCAGGTACTCATGACATCATTTTTCCTTTTTTTTGACAGGCAGAGTGGACAGTGAGAGAGAGATACAAAGAGAAAGGTCTTCCTTTGCCGTTGGTTCACCCTCCAATGGCCGCCGCTGCCGGCGCGCTGCGGCCAGCACACCATGCTGATCCAATGGCAGGAGCCAGGTGCTTTTCCTGGTCTCCCATGGGGTGCAGGGCCCAAGCACTTGGGCCATCCTCCACTGCACTCCCGGGCCACAGCAGAGAGCTGGCCTGGAAGAGGGGCAACCAGGACAGAATCCGGTGCCCCAACTGGGACTAGAACCCGGTGTGCCGGCGCCACAAGGCGGAGGATTAGCCTAGTGAGCCGCGGCGCCGGCATATCATTTTTCCTTAAATACAAAAGGACACAAAATAAATTTGACAACAAACATCTGTATGGGTAGCCAATGCAAGTCCTAATTTTTTATTATTAAGATTTCTTCCACATGTAGTAGGAGCAAAAAGCTGTTAAATGGCATCAAAGCCTTCTCCTGACATTAAAGATTCACCCATACTAGTAAGACTGTAAAAGAAAAACACACATAAGAATTAAAGATACTTGGGGTGGACATTTGACTAGGGGTTATAACACCCCCAACCCAAAACAGTTTGGGTGGGTTTGTCATCTGCCTCTGTCTCCTGACTACAGCTTCCTGCAGATGAAGACCCTAGAAGGTAATGACGACAGCTAAAGAAATTGGGTTTCTGCTGCCCATGTCGGAGATTTGTATTGAGTTTCCATGTTCTTGATTCAGCCTTGGCACAGACCCAGCCATCTCTGGTACTTGGGGAGTGAACAAGCAAATGGGAGTTCTCTGTCTCAGAGCTCTGTTTCTCTCTCCCTTCCCCTTTCCCTGTGTGTGTGTGTCTGTCTCTCAAAACAACTTTAAAAAAAATAAAAGAAAAACAAGAAAGTCTCCAAACAAAAGAACTGCGAAATGACCATTTTTCTTTAAAGATTTATTTATTTCAAAGGTAGAGTTAGAGAGAGAGAGAGAGATCTTCCATCTACTGGTTCACTCCCTAAATGGTTGCAAAGGTCAGGAATGGGCCAGGGCTAGGCCAGGCTGAAGCCAGGAGCCAAGAGCTTCAGCCAGATCTCCCACATGGTGTCAGAGGCCCAAGGATCCAGGCACATTAGCAGTGAGCTGGATCAGAATTGAAGTCGCTGGGATTCAAAGCGGAGCCTAGATGGGATGCCAGGGCTGCAGGCAGAGGCTAAAATATTGTGCCACAGCACTGACTCAAAGGACTTTTAAAGAGTACCTAGTGGTGCTTTGTGAAAGAGCATTCATAAAGTAAGTTACACTGTGATAATTTAAGCTCAGAATTGAGCTTAGTTTGTGTAACTCTAAATGAAAAGTCTATATTACAACACTTTTGAAAGAAAAAAGAAAAGATAATAACTCAGTCTGCTTACAGAAAGAGGGTGAAGGCAATTTAGTCAACTATATATCGAGTCTTTATTTCCAAAAAACATTAAGTATTTCTAGCATACAGCACTTATATCTCTAAGGCTATGCCATCCAAAAAGGTAGGCAATGATTTGAAATATCACTAAAAGACTCACATTTTCATATCTGGTGGAACTGCAAAAAGAAAAGGCAACATATTGTATGACCCAATTTCCAAAAACTGTCTAGTATAGTCAAAGAAAATAGATTTGCAGCTGCCAGGAGCTGAAGGGAGGAAATGGGGAGCAACTGCTAATAGGTACAAGTTTTTTCCCAGGGGTGATGAGAACATTCTAAATTTTTTTTTTTTTAAAGATTTATTTATTTATTTGAAAGGAAGAGTTCCAAGAGGCAGTCTTCCATCAGTTGATTCACTCCCCAAATGGCAGCAAAGGCGGGAGCTGGGAACCATCTGAAGCCAGGAGCCAGGCACTTCCTCCAGGTCTCCCACACTAGTGCAGTGGCCCAAGCACTTGGGCCGTCTTGTACTGCTTTCCCAGGCCATAGCAGAGAGCTGGATCAAAAGTGGAGTAGCCAGGACTTGAACCAGCACCCATATGGGATGCCAGCACTTCAGGTGGCAGCTTTACCCACTACACCACACCACCAGCCCCAAACATTCTAAATTTAAATAACCGTGATGATTATATAACTCTGTGAATTTCCTGAACAATAGTGCATTTTCCAATGATAAATCTTATGGTATGTGAACTATATTTCAATAAAACTGTTATTAAAAAGTTAAACTTAAACAAATATGAAAGACTTCATAGTGTCATAATATACTACAATAGACATCATTCAGGTGGCCAGTGTTGGGTGCAGTGTATTAAGCCACAGCCTGCAATGCCTACAACCCATAGGGGCACTGGCTTGAGCCCCAGCTGATCCATTTCTGATCTAGCTCCTGCTAATGTGCCCAGGAAAGCAGCAGAGGATGGCCCAAGTGCTTAAACTCCTGTACCCATGTGGGAGACCTAGCTGGGGCTCCTGACTCCTGGCTTCAGCCTGGCCCAGCCCTGGCCATTGCAGCCATTTGTGGAGTGAACCAGAGGGTGGAAGATCTCTTTCTATCTCTCCCTCTCTCTGTAACTATACCTTTCAGTGTTATGGCTTAGCAGGTAAAGTTGTCACCTGCAATACTGGTATCCCATATGGGTGCCAGTTTGAGTCTTGGCGACTCCACTTCTGATCCAACTCCCTGCTGGTGTGCCTGGGAAAGCAGCAGAAGATGGCCCAGGTCCTTGGACCCCTGCTACCCACCTGGAAGACCTGGAAGACCTGGAAGAAGCTCCTAGCTACTGGCTTCGCATCATCCTAGCCCCAGCCATTGTGGTAGTTTGAAGCATGAGCCAGCAATGGAAGATCTCTCTCTGTCTCTCTCTCTCTGTCTTTCAAATAAATAAATAAATCTTAAAAAAAAAAACAAAAAAAAAGACATCATTCAGAATATTCCACCTGTTCAAAAGTCACACCTTTACCTTGGCAAGGCGGCTCATCTGATCTTCTGACAGAGTACTGCTTGTTCTGCCAGGAGTTTTTGTGGGCTCTGATCCATCTGCTTCCACATTGGGCCAGACTTTCAAGTCATGCATTCCTTGGCGAAACATACTATAGGAAAAGAGAATGTTCAGGGTAGACAGGAAATTTTAGATTCCTACAACAAAGAGAATGCTACAAAAGTAAACGGATGTCTCTATTGCCAAGCTGTAAGTCCCTGGTGGATTGTACAGATATTAACTCAGCAACTAAAATCCAGGTAACACTTTCTCACATGACATTCATTTGTTCTCTGAAAAGTTAGAACTATTACAGAGAAATATATAGAGTAAATAAAAAGAAGAACTGGTATTGTAGCACACACAATATTTCACTGGACATCTTAGGAATCAGAGACAAAATTCTCACCAATGGAATAACGTCACATTTACAATCACTGAAATAAAAATTTATAAAATTATATAACTTTTCTGTGACAATTCAGCATAGTAGACTATGGGCTCAAACTACCTAAATTTGAATCTCAACTCTGCAATCTACCATACATATGACTTTGGGTAAATTAATCTCTCAGCACCTCAGTTTCTCATCTGTAAAATCAGATAAATAAAGAGTATCTGCATCTCACATGGTTACTGAAAAAGCTAAACAAAACATTAATAGCAAAACGTACTTCGAGGAGCCGGCATTGTGGCACAGCGGGTTAAGCCCCTATCTGTGAAGCTGGCATCTCATATAGGTGCCAGTTCAAGCCTCGCCTGCTCACTTCTGATCCAGCTCCCTGAAAATGCACCTGGGAAAGCTGCAGAAAGAAAATGGCCCAAGTCCTTGGACCCCTGCACCCACATGGGAGACCTGAATAGAATTCCAGGCTCCTGGCTCTGACCTAGCCCAGCTAAGGTTGCTGCAGCCATTTGGGGAGTGAACCAATAGAGAAAGATCTCTCTGTTTCTCCCTCTCTCTCTGTAACTCTGGCTTTCACAATAAATAAATAAATCTTTATTTAAAAAAAAAAAAAAAGGTGTCTGCTTAATTGTAAATGTTTACATAAATTTTTTTAATCAAACTTTCTCACTAATTTCTTCATAGATCTTCCTGAGGTAAACAAGAGGCTCTTCACTCACATTGTGTAACGCATGAAAGCAAAGATGCCACACACAGTTAGATTGGGAACTATAAAGGACAGCTAGAAGCTCATGAACACAATGAGATTAAGGACCGTATCTGTCAAAAGGTCTCTAAAGTTGGCAATGAAACAGACAATTCCAGCAACCATATTTGCAAAAAGTTTACATAACAGGCCTACCAAAAAATGCACAGACTGGATATGGAGAATGAAAATTCTCAGTATTTATTTATGGTACACATTTTTTCTAAAAGCTGCATTACAAAAGACAGCACACATACAGAGCTTTTATAAACTACTCTTTTTTCCCCATTCAACCAGATATACAACATCAAGCAGACCTGCTTGGAGCAGATGCTAAGAAACTGGGTACAGGAGGACAGTAATACCACTCTAAAAGAACAGCCTCCCATGCACCTCCAGAAAGAGCACAGGGCTTCCTTTCCTTCTCTCTACCTCCACATCCCTAGTGAATACCAACTGACTGAACTTAACTAAATCAAAAGTAAGTCCATTTGGCAGCAAGTTGGTTTCCTAAATGATTTAGGTGACTTGGGATGGATCCGGAGAAGAGAATTAAGGATACAAGGGTAGGGGCGATGCCAAGTGACTCAAATGATCAAATGAACATATTACTTTCTTTTGACATTAATGGAACCTTACAGAGAGTTACACAGCCTCCAGGTGGCAAGCCAGAAGATGCTCTGAGCATGTGTCCACCTGGGAAATTAAGCCAAACAGGCAAGAAAGAAACAACAGCACAGCAAGACCTCCTCCAGACTCCAGCAGAGGCCCAGCAACAGCTGCTGTTGATGTTCCAGCTCACAATGCCAAGTCAGGATAACAGCAACTTCCCTAACTTCAGGACTTGAAATGGAAAAAACATTTTCATGAGAAATCAGCAGCTTGCCTATAGAGTTCTTTGCCAATTAATTCATCCTAATGATCAATGCATTCTTGATATAATTAGAAATCTCACAAGCTAGATTTCCAATTTCAGGGCAGTAAGTTACTCTAGCCTTATTCTAACAGATCAGTCTTTAAATTATTCATTAGGTAATTTCCTAAGAAGCTTTGCTTCATATGACTCAATTATACAAAGCAGACATAAGCAAATAACAAGATTTGGGAGTCACAAGTACCAATTCTACAATATTAGATGCTTTAAGGACTACTTTAAAAAGCTACTTAGTGCATACTATAACGCTTTAGGGAAAAAAGTGAAAAGCAATTGTTGTCATTGCATTGTTTAACAAACACTGGGGAAACTACAGCCAAAGGCAGTAGTTTCCCTAAGTCATGAGAACTAGGGTGGCACATAGCATGATTTTCAATGATAGGTGGAAGAAAATTTTCACAGGCTTCCTCCAGAGGCCACACAGAAGACTCATGTTTCTTTGTCTCTGTAAATGCCAGCAGCATCATGCAGAGAAGCAGCTGTGACCCAGCAGCCTAACTAGATGCTGGCACCTTGCAACACCCTAAAGATAATATTCTTCCAAAAGCCAAAGCTGTGCAAGTCCTGTAGTTGGTTTGGGAATGCCTGATTTTTCTCCAAAGAAACTCAGCTTGCCCTCAGGGCATGCCCCAGGACAATGAGAAAAAGATGTTTTAATATCACAGGGTTTCTTAGAATTCTTTCTTCTTAGGTGAAGGTCAGTATAAGCGCCAGTCTAGAGGTAATAGGAGTCAGTGACCTAGCTTTTTTGCACTCATTTCCCACTATTTAAAGTATCCAAAGACCTTTAGTAAAATTTAATGCAATCATTGGGATAACTGCCCTACAACTGTATTAACAGAGGCTTGGGGCTGGCGCTGTGGTGTAGTAGGTAAAGCTGCCATCCGCAGTGCCAGCATCCCATATGGACACCGGTTCGAGACCCAGCTGCTCCACTTCTGATCCAGCTCTCTGCTATGGCCTGGGAAAGCAGCACAAGACGGCCCATGTCCTTGGGCCCTTGCACCCATGTGGGAGACCCAGAAGAAGCTCCAGGCTCCTGGTTTCGGGATGGCCCAGCTCTCAGACTGTTGTGCCCATTTGGGGAATAAACCAGCAGATGAAAGATCATCTCTCTCTCTCTGCCTCTACCTCTCTGTAACTCTGCCTTTCAAATAAACAAACAAATCTTAAAAAAAAAAAAAAAACAGAGGCTTACCTTCACCTTAAAATGACACTAGCTGAATATCAACTTTTATCTGACTAGGTACAAACAGGATCATTCTAATTGAAGAACCATTTTTTTCAATAATTATACACATATTTTGCAAATAAATCAATTTAATATCCCTTATATTTCAGTAAGGGTTTTTTTGCTTCAAATTCTAGAATTTAATAATATAGTTATTTTCATTGTATCTAGTTTAACTGTCACCCACCAGCGTTAAATAATATTTGTTTTCCACGTGCAGTAGAGGCATCAAGCTCTTCCTTTAAAATAAACAGAATTTGGGGTGGGCATTTGGTATGGTGGTTAAGACACCACTTGGGATGCCACATCTCATATCAGGGTGCATGGATTCAAGCTCTGACTCTACTACCAATTCCAGCTTCTTGCTAAATGATGCAAATTTCAGATACCCTGCTATAAGTGAGATAATTTCACAGAATTTGTATTCCTAACACATTTCATTTGTATCTTGTATCTCAGGACATAGTAGAACAGTATGAATTATTTTCCAGTTAGAATTAAGAGAAAACAGATGACTTTTCAAGATTCAGTCTTATTTTAGTCAATTCTAGGAAAACAAATGTAACTCCCACTTCTTGCAGCTACTGCCTTTTTGAAAATCCTTGAGGTTTAATTACTTTTCAGGGCTGAACAAGAAGTACCAATTTGTCTTTCAGGTAGATATTCTGCTTGGTTTGTATGGGAGGTAAGGAATTTTCCTTTTAGTAAGACATACTTAGAATTACAAATAAAATGGGCACCAAGGGAAGGAATCAAGGAAGAATGCATGAGAAAACTGCACACACAAGACATATAAACAGACAGCTATGACGAAGCTTAATGCAGTGTTTTTCAAAATGTGTTCCATAGGCCACTTTTCACAGAATCAGTCAGGATGTTTATTTAAAATGTTGACTCTTGGGCCCTATCACAGACTTTATTAAAAAACCAAGAAGATGCTTTTGTAGTAAGCCTCCCAGACACTTTATACAGAGATTAATATTTCCTTAAATTACTTTTTAAGAACTTGCCAAAAACCAAATAAAACATTGTCATATAGGATGGTCAGAGAAAGTTTATTTGGCCTTAAGTGGATCATTTCACTGCACAACTGTGGCAATTTCAATTGTCACTCACCTAAAGCCTAATGAGAAAATCTCCTGTAACCAAATCCTACAGTCACCTAAATGCACATACATGCTAAAACAACTATTTTTATGAGAACCTACAGTTGATTTCCAGAAGGCAAACACATGTGAAGAATCCCTGGAGGAAAATCTGAGAGGCTGGTCTGGCTGTTTCTCAAAAGCTTCCAGCCTCTATGAATAATAAACTGGCACATATGCTTTCCCCTTCTATAGCAAGCAAAGCTCTTTTCAGTAAAGAATAAAAGGATGCAAACACTTGGAAAAGGAAGGATGTTGATTTATTATTATATCCATTCTCTCATACCATGCTATTTTACCAAATAGTATATTGAAAAACTTTAGGTTACAGTGTTTCAAATTATGACTAAATATTGCTGTGTGGTTTTCAATAACAAGTTTAGCTACACTTAACTAAAATACCCACATATTAGGGAATAATCAAGCTACTATAAATTAGAATACATCTAGATTTCATTCATAAGTTGCACCCTTTCCAACACACCCTATTACCAATAGAAAAATTCATTATTATAAAAGTGTCAGTAAAGTTTCCCAACAAAATAATGAGTTTATTTTCTTCATTGAGAAAATAATATTAAAGTTCAAATATTAAGAATATTCAGATAATAATCTAAAAGACTAATGAAGGTTATCTTTTTTTTTTTTTTTTTTTTTTTTTTTGACAGGCAGAGTGGAGAGGAAGAGAGAGACAGAGAGAAAGGTATTCCTTTTCTGTTGGTTCACCCTCCAATGGCCGCTGCGGCCGGTGTGCTGCCAGGAGCCAGCTGATTCTCCTGGTCTCCCATGGGGTGCAGGGCCCAAGGACTTGGGCCATCCTCCACTGCATTCCCGGGCCACAGCAGAGAGCTGGGCTGGAAGAGGGGCAACCGGGACAGAATCCAGCCCTCCGACTGCAACTAGAACCCAGTGTGCTGGTGCTGCAGGCGGAGGATTAGCCTATTGAGCCGCGGCACCAGCCGTGAAGATTATCTTTTCAAAAAAAGATTTATTTATTTGAAAGTCAAGACTGACAGAGAGAGAAGGAAAAACAGAAAAATATCTTCCATCTGTTGGTTCACTCCTTAGATGGCCACTATAGCCATGGCTATGCAAAGCCAAAGCTAGGAGCCAAGAGCTCCATCCAGCTGTCCCACATTGGGTGCCAGGGGGCCAAACATTTGGTCCATCTTCCCCTGCTTTCCCCAGGCCATTAGCAGGGAGTTGGATGAGAAGTGGAGCTGCAGGGACATGAACTGGTGCACATATGAGATGCCACCACCTCGGGCAGTGCTTTTACCAGTCACGGCACACTGCAACGGTAGCCCACAAAGATTCTTTTGAAATCAAAACATTTCATTGTAGCCTAGAAAAGAGCTATGCATGAAACTCATTATAAAATGTATTAAATACATAGATATATCATGTATAATATATAATATTTTAGACTCATCAAATATATTTAGTTATTTAATCAGGAACTACTATATGAAATAGGTACTACGTTACTTTATTTTACAGATGATGAAAATAAGACATAAGGAGAATAAATAACTTGCCTAAAGAGACAAGATATTAAGCAAAGCAGCCAGGATTTCAGATAGATAATCTACTTCTACAACCCACTGTCCTAATGATTATACCAAATATACTATATTGCCTCTCTTCTCCTTAAATAATAATGAATTGAGTATATAAAGATGCTATCTTAAAATAGTTGGAAAACATGATTTACTTAAGGTGATGAAACAAATAAAGACTGGTTTTGTCTTTTTAAAAAACTAATTCCCAATATATCACTGCTTTTCCAAAAGTTATTTTAAATAAGTCAAAGATTTAAATGTAGGAGCCAGCACTGTGTACAGAGGGTTAACACCATCTGTGATGTCAGCATCTCATATTTGAAAGCCAGTTCTAGTCCCAGCTGCTCCTTTTCAAACCCAGCTCCTTGATAATGTGCCTGGAAAAGCAGACAGATGACCCAAGTACTTGGTCTCTACCTTCCACATGGGAGACCCAGATGTAGTTCCTGGTTCCTGGTTTTGGCCTGCCCCAGCCCTTTCTGTTGTGACCATCTAGCAGGTGAAACAGACAATGGAAGATCTGTGTCTCTCCCTCTCTCTGTTAATTTGCCCATCAAATAAATAAATACATCTTTTAAAAAAAAGATTTAAAAGCAAAGGAATGAAAGCATAACAGAAGTCTTTTGTAAAAAACCTAAATGGAAAGAACCTTCTAAAAACTCAACATTGTAATTTAAAGTTCACGTACAGAAAGCAAACACACACACACACACACACACACACACATTCAAAAGAACAAGCCAAACACAAAAATCAGTAATCGTAACATAACATACAGGAGGCTAATTTCATTCATGTACAAAGACTTCACATAAAGCAATAAGAAAATGACAACACAAAAAAAGTAATGGATTTTATGGTATCTGAATGACACTTCAATAACAACAAAATGGGCAAAGTACATGCTTCAAGTCACAGAGAAGACTTTGGATGTTCCCAACACAAAGAAATCATATATATGCCAATTAGTGATCATTACAGACTATATACATGTATTGGAATATCACACTGTTACCCCCATAAACATGTCAATTACTATGTGCATTTTTTTTTTAATGGATTAGCATCTTAGGAAATTTTTTTGAGATTCTTTTTTACTTTACTTGAAAGAGTTAAAAAGAAAATAAAAATCTAAAAAAACACAAAGGGAAAAAAAAATGACCAAATCTATGTACCTACCTGGTTTTCACTTAGAAAACCAGACCAGACATAAACTGCTAAAGACCTCCAGAAAAGAAAAGCGTTAGAAAGCTGTAACTATAGATTCAGGGATATAAAATCTTTTTCTGTCAAGGGCCATTTCAGTATTTATACATTTTTCAGGGGCCATACAAAATTACCAATTTAAAAATTAACTTGCTATAGATTTAATTGAATTTTGAGTTACAACCCGCAGTTGTCTTGGAGGGATCAGATCTAATGATTTTGTGGTCAGACATTTCGCACCCCAGGATTCAAACAGAATGCTTACCCATACTTTCCAAAAAGTGAAACTGTTGTTCCTCCCACAGGCACTGCTTTTCCTGGTCCATACACATCCCATATGGTCAGGGCCACTTGGGCATTCCTGGGTAGATCGGGGTATTTCACGGGTAGTCTCAGCCATTCATTCCAGCTATGGAAATAATGTTAACACAAGCATATAAATTATCTTTTAAATTAACAAATCATGGAGGGGCCGGCGCCGCGGCTCAATAGGCTAACCCTCCACCTTGCAGCGCTGGCACACCAGGTTCTAGTCCCGGTCGGGGCGCCGGATTCTGTCCCGGTTGCCCCTCTTCCAGTCCAGCTCTCTGCTGTGGCCCGGGAGTGCAGTGGAGGATGGCCCAAGTCCTTGGGCCCTGCACCCCATGGGAGACCAGGAGAAGCACCTGGCTCCTGCCTTTGGATCAGTGCAGTGCACCGGCCGCAGCGCGCCAGCCGTGGCGGCCATTGGAGGGTGAACCAACGGCAAAAGGAAGACCTTTCTCTCTCTCTCTCTCACTATCCACTCTGCCTGTCAAAAAAAAAAATCATGGAAAGCATTGTGGAGCAGTGTCTAAGCCACTGCATGTGACATCCACATTCCATATCAGAGTGCTTGGTTCAAGTTCCAGCTACTCCCAATCCAGCTCCTTCAAAATGCTCCTGAGAAGCAGCAGATGACAGCTTAAGTAGTTGGTTGAGTCTCTGCCACCCACGTGGGAGACCTGGATGGAGTTCCTAACTCCTGACTTTGACCTGGCCTACTCCTGGCTGTCGCAGCAATTTGGGGAGTGAACCAGCAGATATAAGATCTCTCTGCTTCTCCCTCTGTCACTCTGCCTTGTAAGCAAGCAAGCGTGCGAGTGAGTAAGTAAATAAATGAATCTACTAAAAATGACTTCATTAACAGACCATACAAGAAGAAAGTGTTTCAAAAAGAGTAAGTTACTACTCTAAATATACAGTAGTCACTCCAATCTCAAATACAGCAGACACTTCAATTTCAAATACAGCAAATAATAAGAGCCCATGAAAAATGACATTTCAATTCTTCAATCAAGAAACTCAGCCAACATTAATAACACAGAATGGAACATGATAATAGATAATAAAACGTGGAAAGACATTTTAACCTGTTTTGAATCAAAGTGTGATTTTCCTTAACTATTTTCCAGAACGTGATTTTACATTATAAAGATAAAATACTCAAAATTATTCATATTATGTCAAAGCACTGCTTTTTTTCCATGTGAGACTTTTCTGCTCTTCAAGTGATTTCATTAATGCTGTTAACACTTAGCTACTATTGCTTTATGTTTTTAAACCCTGTCTGTATACAATAAGTTATCTCACTAAGGGATGTTTGCTGTTAATATAGTAATGACAGCACAGCTCTTTTTTTCTTAAACCCTCTATTCATCTGTCTAAACTTTCTTCTGCATTTAAATTTCACACTGAATTCACTTCATAATTGCAACTCCCTTAAAACAGCAGATGATTTTAAAATCCCAAAAGAATACTGTACAAACAATATACAAAATAATATCCAGCAGACTCACAGAATTCCATTTCTCTCCATTAACTCAAAATTATTCTAGTTACTAAAAATTACTCTCAGAGGGTTATCTAAAAGTCTAGATTAAATATATTTGCATCAATAAGAAATTTAATAGAATTTTCAAAAACTGACACAACAAATCATTCACATCCACCAAATTTAAGGACCTCCGGGAAAATCAGACCTGGCTATCAATATAAGGAAGCAAAAAATCATTAAATCTTTTTCTTCTATCAAGTTCTTAAAAAAATTAAGTCATATGCTTAACAAAGTCATTATCTACAACAGATAAACTTGAACATCTAAATACATCCATTTAATTACTATCCACATGGTAGGACAGACTGAAAAAGGAAATACTAAGCAGCAGCATATTTGCCAATCAATAAACTACAGAGGAAACTAACACCCACTAAAGTTAAAGAGAAAAATCAGTGATAATATCCAAAATGAACTGGGAAATTTCTCACCTCTTTATTCTGAACCAACACCTATGACCAGTCATTCACCTCAAATTTTTTACTACCCAATATCAGCTCCCAAACCTCTCCTTAAAGCAAATCAACTGTAATCTGTTTTTCATATAGGACTTTTGCAGAAGAGCTGTTTTAGGAAAATGATTCTGCAGCTAAGCAGTCTGAAAACTGCTCTAGATATTCTAAAATTTACTTAGTACCATTTTGTTCACTCCGTCCCTAAGAATCATCTTTTCCCCATGCCCAAACCTCATTAGTCTCAAGAGTAAGTCATCCGCAACATTCAAGAAATTTCCAGATTGTAAAGCCTAAATCTGAATGCCAAGGGCACACCATTGTACTAACTCTCTCTCTCTCTTTTTTTTTTTTTTTGTGTCAAAGATTTATTTATTTATTTGAAAGGCTGAGTTACAGAGAGGTGCAGGGCAGGGGGTGGCGAGAGAGAGAGCAAGTGAGCAATAGAGAAAGACTTCCATCGCTGGTTAACTCCTCAGATGGCTGCAATGGCCAAAGCCATGCTGATCTGAAGCCAGGAGCCAGGAGCTTTTCCTGGGTCTCCCAGATGGATGCAGGGACCCAAGGACTTAGACCATCTTTTACTGCTTTCCCAGGCCATAGCAGAGAGCTGGATTGTAAGTGGAGCAGCTGTTTTGTCTCAAACCTGCTCCCATATGGGATGCCCACACTGCAGGCAGCAGCTTTACCCACTCTGCCACAGCGCCAGCCCCCAACTCTCTAGTCTCACTAATACACCATTACCAAAAAAAAAGTACAGGGGCCAGCATTGTGGCATAGCAGATTAAGCTGCCACCTGCAGTGCTGGGATCCCATATGCGTGCCAGTTCAAGTCCTGGCTGCTCCACTTCCGATCCAGCTCTGTGCTAATGCACCAGGGAAAGCAGAGGAAGACGGCCCAAGTGTTTGGGCCCCTGCACCCATGTCCAAGGCCCAGAAGAAGCTCCTGGCTTTGGCCTGGCCCAGCCCCAGCTGTTGTGGTCATTTGAGGAGTGAACCAGCAGATGGAAGACTTCTCCCTTTCTCACTCTCTCTCTGTAACTCTGCCTCTCAAAATAAGTAAATCTTTTTTTAAAAAATCACACTATTACATCCTCTATGGCATTTAAATTCTAGTAGTTGTTATTTTACTTCAATGTGTGTAGTGCGATTTCTAATCCATTATGATATAAAGTAAAATAAAAGTGTCCTTAATAATGTAAACTGCATGCCTACTAGTAATTATTCACATTAAAAAACTGGGAAATCTGTAGTATGTACATCTACAGATAAGAATCTGCCTTAAATATAATTTTTTTAAAACATAAATTTTATTCATTTGAAAGGCAGAGTTACAGAAAGAGGCGGGGAGATAGAGAGAGAGATCTTCCCTCCGCCAGTTCATTCTCCAAATGGCCGCAACGGCCAGGGCTGGACCAGGCCGAAGCAAGGAGCCTGAAGCTTCTTCTGGGTTTCCTACATGGGTGGCAAGGGCCCAAGTACTTGGGCCATCTTCCACTGCTTTCCCAGGCACATTAGCAGGAAGCGGGATCAGAAGTGGAACAGCCAGTTCTCTAACTGGTGCCCATATGGGATGCCTGTGTCACAGGCAGAGGCGGTTAACCTCTAAACTACAACGTGGACCCCTTAAGTATAATTTTAAAAAGTACAAGTTTGTCTCACCATGGAATCTCCTATTACAGTACATTATAGAATAGGAAATAATAGGATACACTTGATAAATTTAATTTTAGAACTCTCTTAGGGCCAGTGCCATGGCATAGCAGGTTAAGCCTAAGCCTGTGGTGCCAACACCCTATATAGGCATTGGTATGAGTCCCAGCTGCTCCCTTTCCAATCCAGCTCTCTGCTAATTGCCCAGGAAAGCAGTGGAAGATGACTCAAGTGCTTGGACTCCTGCACTCACATGGGAGACCTGGAAGAAGCTCTTGGCTTCTGGCTTCAGGTTGGCCTAGCTCTGGCCATTAAGGCCATTTGAGGAGTGAACCAGCGGATGGAAGACCTCTCTCTATCTCTCCCTCTCCATCTGTAACGCTGCCTCTCTAAATAAATAAATATAATTCTTAAAAAAAAAAAGACTCACTATGAAAAAAAAAAGAACTCTCAAAACTATCACACAGAAATCAAACAGATTTAAACAATTTGGAATCTCACAATATCCCAAATACAATAGGAAATGCAAAAAATTTGTATGGCAAGAGATCCTATTATGGTATAATTTCTTTTTTTCCACACTAAATATTTCTCTTAAGGAAGCATTTTGAAAAATGCTGGCTGTATAAAGTTTTTGCCTTCATTGATTTTATAGGGCCAGTTTTTGTTCTGATAAATAGACAATAAGTTCAACTCAAATACTAAACAAAAAGATATACAAAATCTGCAAACTTTTCTCTTAATCTAAAAGAATATCATGGGAAAAAAAAGCCCACCTTCATGTTACTTCAATCAAAATAGGCTATTTTTCCTAAACTATTTTCTACACAGCGTCTTAGAGCTTTTATTTTCAAAAAGCCATTTTGTGAGGCCAGCGCCATGGCATACTAGGTTAATCCTCCGCCTGCGGTGCTGGCATCCCATATGGGCACCGGTTCTAATCCCAGTTGCTCCTCTTCCAGTCCAGCTCTCTGCTGCGGCCCGGGGAAGGCAGTGAAGGATGGCCTAGGTGTTTGGGCTCCTGCGCCCGCATGGGAGACCAAGAAGAAGCACCTGGTTCCTGGCTTCGGATTGGCGCAGCGCTGGCCATAGTGGCCATTTGGGGAGTGAACCAATGGAAGGAAGACCTTTTTCTCCATCTCTCACTGTCTATAACTCTACCTGTCAAAAAAAAAAAAATCCTTTCTGGCCAACCTCAGTTTAAAAAAAAAAGAAACCTCTAAGACAACTTAGTGAGTACGGTACATTGTTTTAGGTATGATATGGTATTGCAGTTATGTTTTTAAAGATATATAGGGCCCAGCACTTAAGAGCCAGCATCCCATACAGTGTCCTGGCAACTCCACTTCAGATGCAGCTCCCTATTAATCTGCCTGGGAAAGCAGCAGAAAATGGCCTAGGTCCTAAGGCCCCTGCCACCCACATGGGAGACCCAGAAGTTGTTCCCAGCTCCTGGCTTTGGCCTGGCCCAGGCCCGGCCATGGCAACCATTTGGGAGTGTACCAGTGAATTAAGGTATCTCCCACTGTCTCTCTTTCTCTCTCTCTCTATAACTCTCAAATAAATAAATAAAATCTTTACAAGAAAAAGATAAAAATATCTACAAAAATACTTACTTAAGATGATATAATCTTTAGAATTTGCTTCAAAGCTCTGGTAGGAATACAAGATCTGGCACAAGTAACTAGTTAGTATTTAGGTAATATGGATGTAGAAATTTATTCCATTATATGTAGGTTTCAAATTATATTCAAATAATATTCATTATTTGTAGGTTTCAAATTGTCCAGAATAACATATATTAAATATATACACATTTCTGTGTACGTGTGAATAAAACCACTAAAAAACTACTAAAGAAATTACACAATTAAAATGCTTGGTTTTGATGTAGTCAGATCACCAAAGCTCAGGCTTCTCCACTGGTATAGAGTTGTATCCTCAGCAGCATAGCCTGGCTATCTGTGTGACCACATTTTGTCTTCTACAAACAATGTGAGTATAACCCTCTTCCTTAAGAACATTCCACCTTGTATCCTGCACTGATCCTACCTTGATGCTGAATAAAATTCACTGACTGAAATTTAGAACACCCAATAGTCTATCAGGCAAGAGCTGTCAAGAAGTAAGATTAAGGACCCACGATATGAAAACAAAGCCTTCCATTCATGGTATTTTCCCTGAATCCCAACAGTTTGTTAATGAACCATGCTGAATAAACCATGAACCTAAAAGCAAGACTCATGTGTGCAGTTATAATATCTGAATGGATGATACAAGATCTCCTTCTAAAGATCTGAGCTCCAAAATACAAGTTGGACATCATTTCAGGCTATCCAGAAGTGTTTATGTGTTCAGATGCACAGAATGGTAAAAAGTTTACACATGTTACAGATATGGTTTTGATTTTGGTAATGTAATTCACTTTCATTTCAATTGCAGTTATAACTATATGTTTGTATGATACTGCTTTCAACGCTCTTATTAATAAGCATAGGTAGAAAATTCCCCTGTATTCTCTATAAAATTACTCTCTCAACCTCTATAAAGAAATGGAATAAGAGTCTGAAATCTATCATATGCAAGAAAACAACTTACTTCCATCTTGTACTAAATGCCTTGTAAGATGTTCTCACCGGCAAGGCCAGAGGCTTTCCTTCTGCAAAAACTTGACACGTAACATAAAGGTCAGAGCATGTATCTTGGTATAACCCTGAAAACTTCAACATTGGATCTTCTAGGACAGCTTTATAACTCTTTTGTTCTCTCTTCCCTTCCAAGCTTCCTCTGAAAGCACAAAAACAATGCTTTAGACATACATTTATTAAGCAAATACTCACATGCTCAACAAATACTAAGAAGAGTTTATGTTTATATCAAGGAAATCTGATCACTACTGAACAATATTTTCTTGCATAAGAAATTAGTTATTTTACCTATGAAAAGGGTCTCTTAAAATCCTAACATACCTAAGATTATTCTTATCTTCATCAACAAATTTTTTCCATTTTAGGCATCTTAATTTTACGGTAAGTGTTTGACCTAGCAGTGAAGACATCAGTTGGGTTGCCTACACCCCATGTGAAAGTACCTGAGCTGGAGTACCCCTGTAAGATGCCTGAAATGAGCCTGAACAACAAAAGTAAGTGGGAGTAAAAAAAAAAAAAAAAAAAAAAAAAAAAGTAGGAAGTCATCTAAAAGGGAAAGAACAGCATTATATAAATGCTGTGTCTGGTAATTTCAAGTTGTTCAATATTAACCAAAGCAGAAAGCTTATATGGGGAAGCAAAAGATGAGAATGAAAACTTGTGGCTGAACAATGAAACTAAGTGGCCACCAAATTCATTTCAGTGCCTAGCACAAAACGAACATTTTAAAAATATGTTAACTGAATGACTTGAAGAGAAAATGACATAATCAGATTTGTCTACACGATTCTTCTGGCTGCAGCACAATATACTGGAGAAGTTTACTGAAAGCAACAGTTGGAATACTTACCATCAAAAGCAAAAGGAAAAAAGTATGTTACTGGAACAGTGGGGTAAGAGGAGCGCGAAACAGAGATTTAGCAGGTAGATTTAAGACACCTTAGTGAATGATGCAACAGAAAAAATAAGAGGTGTCACAGTTTTCTGACTTAAACTGGACAGAGGATGTGAATAATCAACAAAATAGGGTGACCGAAAATAAAGAAAGTCAAAGGCAGAGGGGTAGGTTAACAATGTGCTCAACTTTGGAAAGTTGCCTTTGTAGTTCTTTGGGACATGTTAAATGACCACGTTTTGTGGGCCACGAGAAAATGTATTTAGAATGTACTTCAGCCATGCAGCCCTTTCACTGAGAATGATGATGTGGTCATTAATTTGTGAGCTTTGGCAACAGTTCTATACTACTACTTACACTGGACAGACTTCCAACTCAGTTTTACTCCTGTTATTATATCAGTTCCATCAATCTTATATCAGGATATTACGCTCTTCAAATCCAGTGCCCCATTTTCCTTCAAGATTTTCCCCCTTCCATTCTTGGTCCTTTACCAACAGTCTTCTTTATTTTCAACTCACTTTCAACTTCTCTGCCTTCACAATGCCAGACTGCTCAAAGATTCAACCGACGCCTCTATCACCTCCCGCAGTACTAATAACTACTACACTCATGTGCTCAACAAACGAGCACAAAAAGTACTGCCAACAATCACATCTACCTGTATCTTCTCCATAATTTTTGCAGTCCCAATTCCACCCTCAGCCCCGTTCCAAACTAAAGATGTTCCTCTTATTTACGGAAGGACTATGAATTTACTGCGCCTTTTCCTCATCTTTAAAATGAGACAGTAAGAACTCCTCAAAATGTTAAACATCAAAATTTTCTGAAGACTACGGAACCGAAGGACTAGTCCTACTGCTGTCCTTCTCAGAAACCATGCCCTCAATCCTCCCACACAACCCGTCTCCCCGATCCACGCTCCTTCGCTTTCCAAGCCACTGCCCTCCGGGTTGCCCCCAGTCCGGGCTTTCCGGGCAGTCACCATCTTCTCTTCCCCCGCTCCTCACCCCTTACCGGCACCTGTCTTCCGTCCCTTCGCCCCAGCAATCTCACTTCCTGTTCCCAGTGTTCTCTTACATCTTAAGCTGCACGTTGATGTCCAGATCACAACTGTAGATGTAGTGAAACTTCTCTGCTTCCCCCATGGCACTCGCGCAAAACCAACACGTCCGGAGGAAAGCTAAACACAGCAAAAACTCCAAAAAACAACCCGCTGACCTACATCGCTACATTTCACAAGCACTTCCGGTTCCGCCTCTCGACCCTCGCACCGCCAATCCCGACCCAGAGCGCCGCCCCAACACAGCGGAACTCCACGCCCAGGCACTACTACTGCGCATGTGCAAGATTCGCTCACCATCTTGCTTAAGGGTAACTAGAAGACGGAAACGCAGCCTAATTGGTTACATGCCAGTCTTCCTGTCCGGAGAAGACAAACTTTTCTTTATTAAGAAAAAGAGCCGTTATTTGGGCTCGAAGTGTACCTAAAATAAACCCAGAAGGGAACTCGAGTCAAAAATGTATTGTAAAAACTTTTATTGGATGGTGCATAAACAAGGAACGAGGACAAAAATGAGAATTTTGCCAAGCTTAAATTCCACTGCTTTGAAGACACCCTGAAAACACCTGATTGGATTGTGATGTAAACACGGAATATATCTTTGACATTAAATGAGGTTAAGTGAGTGAAATTTGGGATCATATTATTAGAGTATTCAGCTATTTTGGCTATTATACCTCCTTACTATTCTGTTCATATTATTATTTTCTACCATCTCACATAATTCCTCTGCTTAAAGTCTTCAAAATTCTTTCAAATATTTTAGGATGTGGAAGTAAACAAAAACCACATAAATAAGACAAGCAAAGCAGTTTATTCAGCGTTTGCTATAGCAAAAGAGTCACACCATCATTAGCTTGGTGCTGACTCAAATGCAAGCACAAGAATATAAACGCTTTGTAGCAGGAAAAAGGTATGACCAGATTGGAGGTTGTTGGCATGAGGAATCTGTAGTTATCAAATCCTCATCATTATGGGCAGAGTGCTATAGGGGTTTAGCTTTGGCTCCCTGGAGTTACTGCTGTAGATTGTGGGTCAGGTTTCTCTTTTTTATATTTGGTCTTGGCCAATGTTGCTTTAGTTTGTCAAGGATAAAGACCAAAGTGCGGCCAACAGTTTTGGTTGTCCATCCCTCCCCCTTAATTTGTTCCCTTTTTACCTGTCAACAGAGTTTTCCTGCCTTTCTTTGCATGAAGGATGTCATGATGACATGAAATCTGGAGTTTCTACAACCCTCTATGGATTTAAAGATGTGGGCTTGAAAATAAAAGCCAAAATACTGAAGTTGACAAAATGGAACATAACAGGACCATGCCTCTTTAATAACAGCACAGAGCTACTGAATAATTCAGAAATTGTCTACATCTCCATTTCTTATTAACTAAATAAAAAGTATGCTTATGAAGTAAGCCACATTTCCAGTTGTTAAATGTTTCCATTACATACAACTAGAAACACACTGATTCTCAGATTCTGCCTCATATGGCAGTCTTCAAGTGCTCAGTTTAATGAAAAACTGTAGAAATTCCCATCAACTGTGGGTCTTTACAAACCATTCTGGACCCTGGAAGAATTTCCATCATCGTCTTCATACCTGCAAAGGAACTGCTACTGTTATATTTGCAATTGAGGCCTAAAATCACTCCTCCTGAATGCCACCTTTCTTCTTGTTTTCTTTCAAAGCACTTGCAAAAGTTTCTAACATAATAATTTGGTTGATGGCTATCTTGTCAACAAGATTAGAAACTTTGTGAGGGAAAGATTTGTAGCAATGTTACTTATTGATTGTTGTGGATAGTGTTTGTTTCCCCCAAAATTCACATGTTGAAATATAATACCTCTGGCCCGACCCTGTGGCGTAACAGGTAAAGCCACCGCCTGCAGTGCCAGTATCCCATGTGGGCGCCGGTTTGAGTCCCGGCTGTTTCACTTCTAATCTAGCTCTTGGCTATGGCCTAGGAAAGTGGTGGAGGATGGCCCAAGTCCTTGGGCCCCTGCACCCAAGTGGGAGACCCAGAAGAAGCTCCTGTCTCCTGGCTTTGGATCAGCTCAGCTCAGGCTTTTGCGGCCAGTTGGGGAGTTAACCAGCGAATGGAAGATCTCTCTCTCTCTCTCTGCCTCTCCTTCTCTCCTGTGTAATTCTGACTTTCAGTTAAATAATAAATAAATAAATAACATCTTTAATAAAAGAAGAAACATAATACCTCTATGACAGTATCTAAAGATGGGGTTTTGGAAAGTAATTAGTCATGAGGGATGTGTTGTTTAATTTTATCTTGTCAACTTGAAGGATTAAGGAATTCCTAGAAACCTGTAAAGGCATTTTTTGAATATGTTTGTGAGGGTCAGATTAGTATGTGATCCTAAGTGAACTGGATGGGAAGACTGAGCCTTGATGTGAGCAGGCACCATCAATGGACTGGAGAGACTAAATGGAAAGTTGGTTTTGAGTTCTCTAGGAGACAGACCTGAGAGGTGCTGGATTCCTTCCTCTGAAGTCATTTGCTCACATTTGGACTCCAGGACTATTCCCACAGCACACTTGTTAAAACTCAGATTTTTTTGGCTTTGAACTAAAACTCACATCCTCAATTTCGTTGATAACGAGGCCCTTGGACTTGGAATGAGCCAGGTTACCAGAGTCCCAGGCTCTCCAGCTTGCAGACAACCCATTGTGAAACTTCTCAGCTGTCAGAATCACATGAGCCAAACCCCTCAATAAATTTTCCTTCATATATTTATATACATATTCTATCAGTTATGTATCTCTAGAGAACCCTGACTAATGCAAGGGAGCTTTCATGTGTGGGATTATCTCATAAAAAGAGGTGAAATAACTTTCATGTATTCTTGCCATGTGATGATACAATGAGAAGTTAGCAGTCTGCAAATAGGAAGAGGATCCTCACCTGAACCCAATCATGCTTACACCCTGACATCAGACTTCCAGTAGATGTTTGCTATTTAAGTCACCCAGGCTATGGTAACCTGTTACAGCAGCCCCAAATGACAAAGACACACTGTACCCAGTTGTTTACTTCCTGGTCTAGAGCATGTGTTAAAAAATAAGGAAAGTGGGGCTGGCACTGTGGCGTAGGGGGTAAAGCTGCTGCCTTCAGTGTTGGCATCTCATGTGGCCACCGTTTCGAGTCTCGCTTGCTCCACCTCTGATCCAGCCCTCAGCTATGGCCTGGGAAAGCAGTAGAGGAAGGTCTAAGTCCTTGGGCCCCTGCGCCCACCTGGGAGACCTGGAGGAAGCTGCTGGCTCCTGCCTTCGGATCAGCACAGCTCTGGCCGTTGCAGCCATCTGGGGAGTTAACTAGCAGGTGGAAAACCTCTCTCTTTCTCTGTCTCTTTCTCTCTCTCTCTCTCTTTTCCTCTCCTCTCTCTGTGTAACTCCTTCAAATAAATAAATAAATCTTTAAAAAATAAGAAAAATAGTAAATGAAGTAAGACTTGAAATACTACTGTGTGTCTGCTGTCTGTCATGTTAAGTGATTTAGTGACATAAATATTACTATCCAATTTTGCAGAAAAATAATGGCAAGGTAGAAGTACATAATTAATAGTTAATATGTGAAAAAACCAGTTGTGTCTGACTTCCAAATCATGATATTTTGAGAAACTCTGAGAGAGTATTCCAGACCCATCCTTGAAGTTAGTTTCTGCAAAAGAAAACAAACCATTACTGCATCTTTATAGTTAGCATCTTCTGTGCTGTTTTGCACTGCCATTGATCCCTCTGCTTTATATAGATTATCATCTCAGGTAAACATCTTGTGATACAGCACATCAGTATCACACTTCAAGACCAGTTTGAGGCCAGCGACGCGGCTCACTAGGCTAATCCTCTGCCTGCGGCGCCAGCACCATGGGTCCTAGTCCCGGTTGGGGCATCGGATTCTGTCCCGATTGCTCCTCTCCCAGTCCAGCTCCCTGCTGTGGCCCGAGAAGGCAGTGGGCCCTGCACCCACGTGGGAGACCAGAAGGAAGCGTCTGGCTCCTGGCTTCGGATCGGCGCTGCGTGCCGGCTGTAACGGCCATTTGGGAAGTGAACCAACAGAAGGAAGACCTTTCTCTCTGTCTCTCTCTCTCTCCCTGTCTAACTCTGCCTATAAAAAAAAAAAAAAAAAAAAAAAAAAAAAAAAAGCCGGCGCCACAGCTCACTAGGCTAATCCTCCGCCTTGCGGCGCTGGCACACTGGGTTCCAGTCCTGGTCGGGGCGCCGGATTCTGTCCCAGTTGCCCCTCTTCCAGGCCAGCTCTCTGCTGTGGCCCGGGAGTGCAGTGGAAGATGGTCCAAGTCCTTGGGCCCTGCACCCCATGGGAGACCAGGAGAAGCACCTAGCTCCTGCCATCAGATCAGCACGGTGCGCCAGCCGCAGCGCGCTGGCCGCGGCGGCCATTGGAGGGTGAACCAATGGCAAAAGGAAGACCTTTCTCTCTCTCTCTCTCTCTCTCTCTCTCTCTCTCGCTGTCCACTCTGCCTGTCAAAAAAAAAAAAAAAAGTAAAAAAAAAAACAATTTGAACAGCGAAATTATCAATATAAAGCACTAATTAAACAAAAGGGACAATTGTTTATAGTGTGAGAACTGGAACAAGAAGGCAGAATATCACTTTGACCTCAGCTTCAAACATAGGTATCACACATATCACAATTAAATTTTCATTGTTTTGCACAAATGGCTGCAAGTATTGATTTGGAGATTGCAAATAAATTTTATAGAGTAGTGAATTCATAATAATGTGATTTCTGAATAATGAGAATCAACTCTAATTTCCTCAGAAGAGGATGAAGAGCTTCTAGAGACTAGTGTGCAAAAGATTTACTGGAGGATTTTTACTAAAATAAAGGTTGTTGGCTCAATAATTGTGGCCAATAGGCCTGAGTTACCTCATTTCTTAAGAATGAGGCCAAATCTGCCTTGAGTAGTAATAATTTGCACCACCCATTCCTTTCCATTTAGAGACACAGAAATTGTGTTCTGTGGCAAAGAACATAAATAGCTAAGGGTCACACTGATGATTACAGAGTGATGATTATGACTTCACTGTTTTTCCAGAGACTTCATGAGGATGTGGCCCTCTGTGATGCTAACAGGAACCTAATTAAGTATATGGTGAGAAAATCCTAGGAAGCGATGCCTTACTTGGCTGCTCCCTGCTTCGCCCCCTTTCCATTTTTTCCCTGCATCTCTTCATGAT